CTAACGTTGCGCTCAACGATCCTAACTTACCTTCAGGGTTTCCAAAAAATCAAAGATGAAACAATAGAAATGAAGTGGTTCTTGTGACGTGAAGGTATCGCAGTGCTTTTAATTCGATTTTCAGGGAGAAAATGTTCGAGCCGTGCTCATAATTAATCCTCACAACCCCCTCGGTATAGTGTTTCCGGCTGAAGACGTGATACGGTTGTGTGATTGGGCAGCAAGGTACGGTAGATTTCTGCTATGGCACTTTCTCCAGAAGTTTCTCCTTGAGGGGCTGTTGTGCGGACTAACAACATAATTTCTCTTGCGAAACAGATCGATATGACTTCAGGAACAATGCTTGTGGTTTGAGTCTTTCACGTCGTGCGTCTTTGGTTCATCGACATTCAAAAGCTTCCTCACTTATAGGCATCGGGTTATGAAACCGGAAAATGTTTTCTATTTGTGGAGCCCGAGCAAGGTATTGCACTTAAAAATACATTCTTATCTGTAAATTAATATTATTTCTTCAAGGATTTCGGTATTCCGGGTATGAAAATATCTGTGGTCCAGTCATCGTCTCCGAAACTCTTGAAATCGCTGTCACGACTTGAACTCATCCACCCGGTATCTGCTTTGGCTCATGACGCTGCGTCAGCTCTACTTTCTGACTTCGGTAAGTTATTTATTCGTTGTAGGACCAGCAGTGTCCCAAGGATGATTTAGTTAGGTACTGGTAGACTGAATAAATCTCCTATGTGAGCCAGGAGATCTTGAGGTGTTGGAGGGAGGGGGCACACAGATGCAGGGTCGTTGGGCGTTGTATTTCCCAGCTGGTTAGTTCGGCTCCTTGTTCCTTTCGATCAGTTTGGTTAGAGCGCATCCATACTTCACGATCCAACCGCATGGATCGCGTGGTCACGGCTGAGGGCGCTCCACCGTCAATCAGTGGGAACCGTCGCAACTACAGAACTGAATTGACCGCATCTATACCCTCGCACAACTCGGCCAGCTAATTTCTGCCGTTGCGGTGAGCCACTGATTAGCAGTGGAGAGCCCCCGGTAGTAGTCGCGCGACCCGATTACTTGCAAGATCCGAGCTACCGGATCGCCGAGTATGAAGTCGCTCTTGACTGCGTTCATACTTTACGGTCCACCAGCGACCAATAGCGTCCACCAGCGTTCCGAGCGTCCGGCAGCGTCAGCGACTAGGAAAGTATAGATATCGATCTAGCGTCTGCCAGCGTCTACCAGCGTCCACCAGCGACCAGCAGCAGACTGCTGGTAGAGAGTATGGGGCGATAGGAGGGTACCAGCTATCTGATACCCTCCTAAACTCTCTACCAGCAGTCAGATCGATATCCATACTTCCCTAGTCGCTGACGCTACCGGCGCTCGGAACTTTGGTGGACGCTGTCACATAGTTTGAAGGCTTTCTTAGGATATGGGCCCCACATAAAACCCTCTTTCATGGCAATTCTCTCCTAACCTGTTTTTTCATTAATATTTCAATTGAACCCGTATTCAGAATGGCTTCGAAGTTTCCACTCCTTGAAATTGGCGAGATTGTCAGACCATTACGACCTTCTTGCAAAAAGTCTCCGAGAAATTGGTCTCGAATTCACTCCTGCAGTCGCTGGCTGTTTTGTGATGATCGACTTTAGAAAGGTTCAATCACTTTTAAATCTTCCGGAATAATAACTATCTGTTTCCAGCACCTCCGCTCACAAACATTCGAGGCAGAGTTGTCTTTATGGCAATCACTATGCGATCGTGGAGTGATGCTAACCCCTGGACAGCACGTACTCTGCCCTCAGCCGGGATGGATGCGATTGGTGTTCAGTTGCAGCAGAAGTGAACTTGCTGAAGGTACTGCTATGTTCTCTACAATCTGGAGTTCTGATTACAATTAAAGGGGATGCAAGCTATAAACTAAGCCGTTTAATAATTTGCATGCTAACCGTTGAAATATAGCTACAGACTGCGGGGTTCTCATCTTTTCGTTTTTTCTACCCGTTGTCTCGGGGCAGATGTCGAAGAAACTAGTCCTCTTTTCCAAACCTGCTCGGAATGTGCCTCTTTTCGCCTGTTTCCGTCCTTTTCTTTTCGTCTTTCATCACCATTGCGTTACTCAAATCCACTTTAATTCCTAACTCAAGTATTCTCGCCTTCAGGCATTGTTCACAGTCTGCGAAGCTGCGTTTCTCTCAAAAAAAAAGCGCTTCGGCGAAAAGCTTTCGATACGTATCGACTGGCGGTTGGTTGGGCGAAGAGTCTGGCGGTTGGGCGAAAGGGTTTTGATACGAATCGACGGGCGTTTCGCCAAACCGCGGCGTTTTTCGCCTTCGCGAAACGCTAGCTCGACCGCCCTGGCGTTTTTTCGCCAGCGATACGCATCTATTGCTTTTCGCCCAACCGCCGAAC